ACACACAACACACACAACACACAACACACACAACACACACAACACACACGCACACGCACACGCACACGCACACGCACACGCACACGCACACAAACACGCACACGCACACAAACACGCACACACAACCACACACAACACACACACAACACACAACACACAGCACACAACACACAAGACAAACACACAACTCACAACTCACAACTCACAACACACAACACACAACACACAAAACACACAGCACACACAACACACACAACACAAACAACACACACACAGCACACACCGCACCACACCACACCACACCACACCACACCACAACACACCACACCACACCACACCACACCACACCACAACACAACACAACACAACACAACACAACACAACACAACACAACACAACACAACACACCACACCACACCACACCACACCACACCACACCACACCACACCACAACACAACACAACACAACACAACACAACACAACACAACATAACACAACACACGCAAACGCGCGCATCCGCAAATGTACACCTCCTCCTCCTCCTCATCCTCCTCCGCCTCCGCCTCCTCCTCCCCCTCCTCCTCATCCTCCTCCCCACACACGCATACACACCGAAACGCACACAAGCACACGCACACACTACACACAACGCGCAGCACGCACAACATGCAACGCGCGCCACACACGCACGCCTTGTCAGCGGCGAGAGCCGCCGCTAACGCGTTCAAAGAGCTATGCGCACACGGAGCCGCGCCTAATTAGACGGCGCATGGGCACAACCATGCATCAAGCTCGCACCAACAACCAAAACGAATACGCCGCGCACTGGGGAACGGTGTGCAATCACCACCCCAGCCTTTGTGCGCAGTAAGTGCCCAGCCATGGACAAACTTCCCCTTCGCGCGGCCCGCCGACCTGCTGTCGTGACCTGCTCGACCTCGGCCGCGCCGGCTCTGTCACAAGCGGCGCCCATCGGCAGTGTCTCTCCGCGCAGCTGAGCCTGTCTGGGGCCGTCGGCCGGTGCGGTCGAGCCCGGTGTGTGCTGCGGGAAGCTTCGGCGGCGCGCCGCGGGGGGGACGTTTGGGAGTTTCGGGTTCGAGTTCCAAGGTTTTCGGGCGTTATCGTCGGTCCTCAGCAGATTTCCAGCCTCCGGGTGCGTTCCAGCGGCTGCGCCTCGCCGAGCGCGTTCCGGGGGGGGGCCCGAATCGTCCCGAGCGGCCGCCAGAGACCCGAGCTGATGACCCGAGAGAACCAGTCCGAGGGGAGGCCGTCCTTCTCGGAAGGCGGCGGAGCGTCTCGGAGGCCCTCGCGCCTTCTGAGAAGGCTCGCGCGTCAGTGCGGCCTTTGAGACACGCTGGGGGGGTCCCATCGGTAAGCGCCATAGCGGCCGCGTCGGTTGTGCCAATCCAGCTGGCCACTCCGCGCGCGAGCTTTTTTTGCGCTAGCGCAGCCGCAACGATGCGCCAACCAGTGCCAAGTAGTCACCGCAATCGTGGCCGCATGGGTTGTGCAAAGCAAGTTGAGGGTGGGAGGGTGGGATGTTTGCGCGAGCAGTGGAGTACACGACCCCAAGTTCTGCAACACGAACAGCGCCACCTAGATTGCAAGAAATCAAGATTTGGGATCTACGCTGGTTACTAAAAATATTTCCACACCAGACCGACATGAGATGAATTTAGAAACAGGGCTGCTGTATTTTGCCCGTGCGGCAAGAATCGGAGGAGTACAACACATTCACTTCGAAGGCGTTGCTTGAGCTTCATATGTTTCCAGGGTTTGTGAATACACGCGCTGAACCGATTTCCACTGCCAGCTGGAACGCGCGTAGCCTTGATTTCTTTCTTCGGGGTAACCAAGCAAACATTCGTTAAACACATGCTATCGCCACTGTCGCTTATTAGCGTGAGTGCGACGTGCCCACCTCATGATGCTTTCCTCACGTTATGCAATTACGAGTCCGTGGCCAACTGCAACGGAACCCTGCATGTCCCCTGTGCCTTACAACACATCGCACATAGACTACAACACCCAATTGGCAATCATGGAAGCCTTGGTCGGCAATGATTGGACCCTCCGGTCCGCTCCTCAAGCAGCCCGTTGAGACCGTTGCTCATTATTCGGACTCCCGCTCCGACTTCGGTATCCGATGATCGATCGTTGTTTGGCTCCAACTTCGGCGCGCCCCCTGACCGGCTCATGGCCACAACCTGGTGTGCATCCCGATCGTGATCCAGCTCGGCGGATCGTTCCGCTCGTCGGGCTTCGGCTCGGGCTCGTCCTCCGATCCCAGCAAGCTACTTCTCTGCATGTCTCAAACCGCTGGGTAACCTCGCCTCTAGATGAAGGTACTAAAAGGTAGCAATACCGCTTCGGCGATCTACTGACCCGGGTCAGTCAGGCCTTGCAAAACCCTGCAACATCCTGCAAGATCTTGCAAGATCCTGCGCCCTAGCCCGGGTCAGTGCACCCCTCGCTCTGCAGGATCCTGCAAACATTCGGTGCTCTGGCTGACCCCTGGTTGCATTGACCCCCATCTCAAGGCGCCCGATCGCTACTCCCTGGACCTCTCACGGGGTGCTTTCTGACCAGTATCCCGAAGCGAATCCAGCGGTGGCGACGAGGGCCTCCCAGGAGGCCCCCCAAAAGGCGAAAGCGAGGGAGGGGTAGAGGTATAGGTAACTTTTCCTCTTTGGATCGGGGAGCTTCCAGGGAACCTCTGGGAGCACCCGGGGAGCGCCCGAGAACTCCCGGGGAGCCCCCGGGAGCACCTGAGGTGCTCCTGGGAGCCCCAGGGGAGCCCCTGCTGGAGAGCCCCTGGGAGCCCCCTGGTCGCATCGACAGTTGTACCCCCAGGAGCACCTCCACACCTGCCACGCCTCACTCTGCGCCCTCCGCCCTCCCTCCCTCCACAATCTGTGCGCGCTGCCTGCGCTCTCTGCGTTACGCTCGGCGCCCAACGTCCAAGACATCAGACATCGAGATCGGCAAGATGCTTTCGATGCTTGGGGGCACCTGGCCCCCCGACGGCGTTTGGACTTCAATAGCCCTGGCGTGCCCTGCGCATGGAGGAGGAGGGCGATCAGGCGCCCAAACGGCCGAGGTGACTTAACATTCTCTGGCCTCCTCGATCGAGCGGCCAAACGGCCAGGAGGATCCCCAGGATCGCTCCAGGACGGCATCCGAGGCTCCCTGGAGGCCCACGGCCTTCCTCCAGGACGGCCCCACGAGAGGCGAACAAACATCGCCACCGCCAGACCGCTGGAAGCCTCCCTTCTCATGATGGATCCAAGACCCCCGCGGAAGCCTCCAGGAGATCCCCAAGAGCCGCAGACCTCTCGAGAGGCCTCCGAGAGGCCCGCAAAAGGCCCCCCCAAGAGAAACACTCCAAGAGAATCACACGAGGCTCCAGGAGACCCACAAGCGGTCATTCGACATCCTCTGGCCAAGACTCATGATCCCAACACGCCACCGTTTTCGACCTCTCTACTGGTTCTACGAGGTCAGACCGACGTTGCACTTCAAACGCTGCGAATGTTGAACGACATCGCATGCCATTGAAAACCAATCCGGCGGTATTGCTCCACCAAGATCTTTTCCTCATGCCCCTCCAACTCCTGTCTCGCCAATAGTCTGGCGAAAAATACAAACCTGCGCAACTGAGTGTACCGCTAGGAGTGCCCCCTGAAGTCGTGGGTGGAACTCACCATGGGGCACGATCCCCGTGAGAGGTGCGCCGAATTGAGCGAGGCGCCGTAATAGAGCTTTCTCTGGGGCACAGTGCGAGTGAGGGGCGCGCGAAAGTTGGGCGGACATGCGGAGGGCGGAGGCAGGGAGAGGAGGAGAGGGAAAGAAGGTGAGAAGGAGAAAACGCGTGGCGTTGCGGGATTGTAAGCACGATCGCATCCCATCCCGCCCATCCCCCGCCCTTCCACCTATACTCCCACAACGCGACAACTCCGCGGACACTCACCGTGTTTGTTCCTACTTCCTTAAAGCCACTTCCAGTTCCGGCGCACGCCCCAGCGGTACTCTGGATGGCTCCAACTCTTGAACTGGCTTTGGTGTGGGGCACGAAGACTTTGAACCTCCCCTCCCAACGCCTGGCATACCAGACACCACTCGCCGTCTCTGCGCACGGTGGACCCGATCCACTTTGGAGGGGAGGAAACGACTGTTCTGATCTTGAAGATCGAAACGATCGGCATCCAATGTTATTGTTTATGGCTGGGACTTGGATGGTTGGACCATTTGATACATTGATTTAGTGGCAACGACTGGCTACTCAAAGGTCCTGTGTCGGTGGAAGCGGTACGGTATTCTTTTTGCGCAGACGTAAAAAGGCATACAAAACTTTAGGATCACAGATCTCACACGCCCTGAACCTACCAACAATGCCAACTTTTTGTTGGGGGAACTAGAAGAAGAAACAACTGCATAAACATAAACTTTCGACGCTCCGCGCGGATCCCTTAGATCTGCGCCGGACCCCCCCCCTTGAGCTCGGAGCGCGCCAGGAGCGACGCTGGAGGCGCCGCCCGGCGGGCCCCAGCACGGATCAAAGAAATCCGCGCGGAGCGCCCAAAATTTATGTCTGCTGTTTGGGGAACCATATTTGCTTCCAGCGGCTTCCGTCGGTCTTCTTGTTGCTTCGGCCGGCGGAGCCGCCCCAATTTTCTACTGCCACTGGCTTCCGTCCCCGCTCAACCCTGGGTCAGTGCACCCCTGGCTCTGCAGGATCCTGTAATCGGCTACACGTAAGAGTGATCCTAGGCAAGAATGACCTTTGGTGCGCGACTTCCGGGGGCCGCGGGGAGGCCGAAACGGAGCGCGCAAGCCGCTGCTTACGCACCGCATTCAGCCATCTGGGGGCCCCAATGTGCCCGCACCAGAGCTTCCTCCGGCGAACGGCCACTCTCACGTATCGCACATGTAAGGAGCCGGCTCTCTGCCTGACCCCCGTTCGCATGGACCCCCGTCTCTTGAGCCCTGAGGTGCTTTTACTCCTGGCGGCTATCCGGCGGTCTTCTTGTGGCTCCCGCCAGCGGAGCCGCCCCCGGCGTCTGCTGCCGCCGGCTTTCGCCCCCGCTCCCGTCGGGGCAGAGTGGGTGCCAGGAGGAGGAGGAGGAGGAGGAGGAGGAGGAGGAGGAGGAGGAGGGGGGGGAGGAGGAGGCAAAGGAGGGGGAGGAGGAGGAGGAGGAGGAGGAGGAGGAGGAGGAGGAGGAGGAAGAGGAGGAGGAGGAGGAACTCCTTCGGTTCTTCGGGGGCCCTCTCTGGATCGCCCGCAGCGCATGGCTGGTGGGCCACTGCGTGCAAACGTCTGTGGACGACACGCCCGCCGAGGACAAGGAGACGAGGTGGAGGGCGACATGGTGGGGGGAGAGCGAGGGGGGAACGTCAGGGGGGGGCCGGCCCAGGGGGGAGGCAGCATCGGCCCGGATCGGGGGGCGCGCAAGCATGGATTAGCGATCCATGGATGTGGCGCGCGGTCGCCGAATCCATGGATCGGGGCAGGTGCCCTCCCCAAAATGCGGCCGGTGCCGCCTCGCTCCCGCGGCGGGACACTCCGCGAGCTCAATCCGTGCCTGCGATCGCGCCCGAGCCAGGGGGGGGGGGCCGGCCCGGGGGGGAGGCAGGCGTCGGCCTGGAGTCGGCGACTCCGCGGCGGCAGGTCGGCGGCAGGCCCCCGAGAATCCGCAGCACGGGGGCCGCGCTCCCGGGAGGGGTGGGCCCTGGGGCCCCGGGCGGCGATGCCTGGGCGGCCCGGGGTTGGCACAAGGGCCAATCGATGTCTTCATCAAATACGACATCATTTGGGCTAAAGTCGCTAGCCTCGTTCCCGCCCGGCTGAGCCGGTGGGCGAGCCTCCCCGCGCGGCGCTCTGGGGGCTCTGGGGGCCCCAGGGGCCCACAGAGGAGCAATCAGGGCCAGACCCCAGGATTCCCCATCATCTCCCGTGCTTTCTGGGTGTTCGTCTTCCCCCCCTCACTTCCCCATATCTTCTCGCATTTCCCTGGGGATCGACGGGTTAAGTTAATTGTGTGTGCGTGTGTGATATTTTTCCCTCCTGAGTTTGATGCATCCCCCGTGAGCCCGTCGCCACCTGACCTTGCCCCTGAGGGGGGGAGGAAGAACACCCGCCAGACAGAGCCCTGGCAATCCCGACGCTCGCTCGCCCTCCCAATGCTGACACGAAGCCAAACCGTGGAAAAGACCGCATGGAAGCCGCCTGCCTGCTGCCACGACCGTAGGCATGCAACTTTTCTTTGCCGGCCAAGTCATTTGATAGCAGTGCGCTCCTACAAATTATACGCCTGTAGTGCGCGAGAATAAGAGACTAGAACGAGCATCGGCGACCAACGTGGAGAAAATGGAAGCAACTTGAGTGTCACGAGTGCGAAATTGACGGTCCGTGTCGACCGTTTGCGAACAAGCGCCAATCTGACTCGAATATGATAAGGGCGGGACGATCAAGACTCAAAGTAGTCGCGCCCACGAGACCACTGGAATTTAAACATACGTAGCACCCCGCAGTTGCGGATAAGAGTGAGGGGGCGGCGAGGACGTCGTCAGTCTGCGAGGTTCTGAAGAAGCCCGCCGCAGGCGCCTAACTTTTACAAATTATGCAGTGAGCCCGCCGCAGGCGCCGATTTCTTCGTTCAAGCAATGTGGGTGGATCGCGGGGTGGGTCGCGGGTGGGTCGCGGGTGGGTCGCGGGTCGGCCGTGGGCCGGGTCGCAGATGGGTCGCGGGTGGATCGCGTCTGGTTCGCGGGTGGGTCGCGGGTGGGTCGCGGGGTGGGTCGCGGGGTGGGTCGCGGGTGGGTCGCGGAGAGTCGCGGGGTGGGTCGCGGGGTGGGTCGCGGGGTGGGTCGCGGGGTGGGTCGCGGGTGGGTCGCGGGGTGGGTCGCGGGGTGGGTCGCGGGTGGGTCACGGGCGGGTCACGGGGTGGATCGCGGGGTGGGTCGCGGGTGGGTCGAGGGGGGGGCGCGGGGTGGGTCGCGGGGTGGGTCGTGGGGTGGGTCGCGGGGTGGGTCGCGGGTGGGTTGCGGGCGGGTTGGGGGGGGGGGAAAGCGACAACAACAACACCAACAACAACAAAAACAACAACAATAACAATAACAACAACAACAGCAACAACAACAACACCAATCACTTTACCCGAACGCTCAGTGTTCTCACCAGTGCCAGGGTTTTCATGCGACGCCAGCCAATACCCCCACTTTGTGGGGGGGCAGTGCAAGCTCTACCAAATATCCACACGACTCTTCGCCACCACCCACACCCAGCTTCCCGCCCTATGACGTTCGGACACTTCACTTCGTGGCCTGCGGACGACCGTGGCTACTACACTGGCGTGGAGTACACACCCACAGAAGTTGTTAAGCCTACGTTCGTACACCCACAGAAGTTGTTAAGCCTTGTTAACCCACAGAAGTTGTTAAGCCTTCCACAGAACATCTGTTGCATATGATGCATATGGTACATGATACACATGATACACATGATACGTACTCACAAGATAGTTGATCACATCTTTAGGGCAAATTCCTGAGGGATGTGGGAAATTCTTAAGAAGCCCAATGGTTTTTTGGAGATTTCGGCGTGCGCGCGCGAAGAAAAAACGAATGTGTCCCGCATGGTATTATTTGACAGGGATGATGGCCCTGGCAGGTGCGCAACCGTTGTCGCAGAAGTTCGAAAAAGTTGCTCGCAAAAGCCCGTTTGACAGAAATGTTTAAAAAGTGTTGGGTTTCCTACGAATCCGCAAGAGCGCGCGGGATGAGATTTTGACAATTTTTTGTTGAAAAACCATTGGTTTTTTGATGTTTTTATGTTAAATCGTTGCGAACACTAAGGTTTTGGAAGGATTTCGTCTTGCGCGCGCGAATGTCCACTTTACCTTATTTTTTGCAAGGGATTCTTGAAATTTGATTATATTAGAACAAGAAATGTCATTTTCTATTGTTTTTTGCAAGGGAAAGCGGATTACAACAAAACAGCCGGATCCTGTACACACCCTCTTTTCTGAGGCTTCCTCACGAAAATGATGAAAATGTAGCTGCGGCCTAGGCGGCGCAGGGAGGGCGCGCACCAGGGGGCCCAACAATAATTATTCTTTAGAATAAATAATGTTCAACAACAACAACCAACAACAACAGCAACAACAACAACATCTTCAGCAACAGCAACAACAGCAACAACACCAACAACACCACCACCACCAACAACAACAACAACAACTTCAGCAGCAGCAGCACCAACAGCAACAGCAACAGCAACAACACCAACACCAACACCAACACCAACAACAACCCCACCACCACCACCAGCAACAACAACAGCAACAACAACAACAACAACAACAGCAACAACAACAACACCACCAACAACAACGACAACGACAACGACAACAACAATAACAACAAAAACAACAACAAACATGATCCTCCCCGCGGATCCCCACTTGAGCCACGCACCCGGGAACAAAGAATGAGCGCTCGGCCACCTCACTCTGATATTCCTCTTCCTATATTTCCCAACCATCCTGTGGTGTTGGGTCCTCGTTTTGAAGAGACGGTGCCCCGCGTTCTCCTTCCTTCCTTCCTTCCTCCCGCTGCCTCCTCCCCCTCCTCCTCCCTCCTCCCCCTCTTCCCTGCGTTTCACCCACCCAGTACAGCGTTTCGTAGCCCCATAGGGAGCTCCGCCGAAGGCCCCAGTGCTGCCGCCCGCATGCGTCCCCCACACCCAATTCGGCACACCTCTCACACGTTTCGTGGCCCCATAGGAGCTCCGCCGAAGGCCCCAGTGCTGCCGCCCGCATGCGTCCCCCACACCCAACTCGGCACACCCCTCACACGTTTCGTGGCTCCAAAGGAGCTCCGCCGAATGCCCCAGTGCTGCCGCCCGCATGCGTCCCCCACACCCAATTCGGCACACCCCTCACACGTTTCGTGGCCCCATAGGAGCTCGCCGAAGGCCCCAGTGCTGCCGCCCGCATGCGTCACCCACACCCAATTCGGCACACCCCTCACACGTTTCGTGGCCCCATAGGAGCTCCGCCGAAGGCCCCAGTGCTGCCGCCCGCATGCGTCACCCACACCCAATTCGGCACACCCCTCACACGTTTCGTGGCCCCATAGGAGCTCCGCCGAAGGCCCCAGTGCTGCCGCCCGCATGCGTCACCCACACCCAATTCGGCACACCCCTCACACGTTTCGTGGCCCCATAGGAGCTCCGCCGGAATGGCCCGGTGCTGCCGCCCGCATGCGTCCCCCACACCAAATTCGGCACCCCCCTCACACGTTTTCGTCGGCCCCATGAGATCGCCCCGCCGAAGGCCCAGTGCTGCCGCCCGCATGCGTCCCCCAACCCAATCGGCACACCCATCACACGTTTCGTGGCCCCATAAGGCGCTTCCGCCGAATGCCCCAGTGCTGCCCGCCCGCTATGCGTCCCCCACACCCACTTCTGGCACACCCCTCACCACGTTTCGTGGCCCCATAGGAGCTCCGCCGAAGGCCCCAGTGCTGCCGCCCGCATGCGTCCCGCACACCCAATTCGGCACACCCTCTCAGACGTTTCGTGGCCCCATAGGAGCTCCGCTGAAGGCCCCAGTGCTGCCGCCCGCATGCGTCCCCCACACCCAATTCGGCACACCCGTCACACGTTTCGTGGTCCCATAGGGAGCTCCGCCGAAGGCCCCCGTGCTGCCGCCCGCATGCGTCACGCACGCCCAATTCGGCACACCCCTCACACGCTTCGTGGTCCCATATGGAGCTCCGCCGAAGGCCCCAGTGCTGCCGCCCGCATGCGTCACGCACGCCCAATTCGGCACACCCCTCACACGCTTCGTGGCACCATAGGGAGCTCGCCGAAGGCCCCAGTGCTGGCCGCCGCATTTATGCCGTCCCGCACACCAATACGGCACACCCCCCACACGTTTCGTGGCCCATAATGGAGCTCCGCCGAACGCCCCAGTGTGCCGCCCGCGTGCGTTCCGCGCTGCACACAATTCGGCACCACCCTACACGTTTCGTGGGCCCCCTCAGGACTCCGCCCAAACACGGGCCCAGTGCTGCCGGCCCGCATGCGTCACCCCCACGCACCCCCCATTCTCGCACACCCCTCACACGTTTCGTGGCCCCAAAGGGAGCTCCACCGAAGGCCCCAGTGGCTGCGCTCGCATGCGGTTCCACCCCCTTTTTCGGCACGCCCTTCACACGTCTCGTGGCCCCATAGGGAGCTCCACCGAACGCCGCAGTGGCTGCGCTCGCATGCGGTTCCACCCCCCATTTCGGCACACCCCTCACACGTTTCGTGGCCCCATAGGGAGCTCCACCGAAGGCCCCAGTGCTGCCGTCCGCATGCGTCCCGCACACACATTTCGGCACACCCCTCACACGTTTCGTGGCCCCATAGGGAGCTCCACCGAAGGCCCCATGGCTGCCGTCCGCATGCGTCCCGCACACCCATTTCGGCACACCCCTCACACGCTTCGTGGTCCCATAGGGAACTCCACCGAAGGTCCCGGTGGGTGTGCCCGCATGCGTCCCGCACACCCATTTCGGCACACCCCTCACACGTTTCGTGGCCCCATAGGGAGCTCCACCGAAGGCCCCATGGCTGCCGTCCGCATGCGGCCCGCACACCCATTTCGGCACACCCCTCACACGTTTCGTGGCCCCACAGGGAGTCCGCCCGAGGTTCCCAGTGGGTGTGCCGCTCTTCCGCTATGCGTCCCGCACACCCCATTTCGTGCATGCTTTCAGGGACGCTTTCGTGGCCCCCATAGGGAGCTAACCGAAAGGCCCCAGACGTGTGCCCGCCATGCGTCCCGCACACCCAATTCGGCACACCCCTCAGGCGCTTCGTGGCCCCATAGGGAGCTCCACCGAAGGTCCCAATGGGTGTGCCCGCATGCGTCCCGCACATTCATGGCGGCACACCCCTCACACGCTTCGCGGCCCCACAGGGAGCTCCACCAAAGGCCCCAGTGCTGCCGCCCGCATGCGTCCCCCACACCCATGTCGGCACACCCGTCACGCGTTTCGTGGCCCCACAGGGAGCTCCGCCGAAGGTCCCAGTGGGTGTGCCCGCATGCGTCCCGCACACCCATTTCGGCATGCTCTTCACACGCTTCGTGGCCCCATAGGGAGCTCCACCGAAGGCCCCAGTGGGTGTGCCCGCATGCGTCCCGCACACCAAATTCGGCACACCCCTCGCACGTTTCGTGGCCCCATAGGGAGCTCCACGGAAGGCACCAGTGGGTGTGCCCGCACGCGTCCCGCACACCCAATTCGGCACACCCCTCACGCGCTTCGTGGCCCCATAGGGAGCTCCACCGAAGGTCCCAGTGGGTGTGCCCGCACGCGTCCCGCGCACCCATTTCGGCACACCCCTTACACGTTTCGTGGCCCCGTAGGGGGCTCCACCGAAGAAGATATTCACAATTGCGGTATTCACAATTGCATATGGTTGGGTCCTTCGCCAGGATAATTTTATAAGCCCAGGCGGGGGAAAAACCCGGTCCCCCCCCCCCCCCCCAAACCGGACTCCCGGGATCTGGGGCTTTGGGACCCTCCGGACGGGCGTCGAAGCGGCCACCGTGCCTCGCAGGGCGTTTTGCCAAGCCTTCCCAGCACACCTGGGGCGATCAGGGGGGTCATTGGAGATGTCCCCGAGACCCCCAAGACAGCACAAGAGCGCTCCAAGAGTGACCGACGTGACCTCAAGATGGCCCAAGAGGCCTCCAGGACGGCCCCAAAGAGGCCTCCAAGAGCACTCCCAAGGAGGCCCCCCCAGGCAAAAATCATTGATTTTCTGTTGTTTTTTGGTGAATTGTGGGGTTCTCCTCTTTTCGGCATCGCCCCACGACCATCCGAAAGGGCTTCCAGGCAGTCAAAGAGAGCCCCAAAACGGCACAACACGGGTCCCAGATGGCCCTCAGAGAGCCCCATGGCGGCCCAAGATGGCCCAAAGACACCCTCCGAAGAATTCCAAATCGTGATTCGGTCGTTCAGGGAGACCGCGGTTGGAGGCAGGGTGGCCCGAGGAAGCCCCCGGAGGCCCCCAGAATACGCCCAGCAGGCCTCCCGAAGGCCTTAAGAAAGCCTGAAACAACTTTTGTGAGGCCCCTAGAGGCTCTCCAAGGAAGAGCCTCCGCAAAACGAGCTAAGGAGGATGGATAGAATGCGCAGGGTATGGCGGAAATAAGCAAACAGAAGCATGGAGGAAGGATAACGAAAAACATTATCATAGCGGCGATGCCGGGCAACCAGGAGTTATCGCTAAATTGTCGGCTTGACCGTCCTGCTATTCCGCCTGCGTACCAAACTTCAAGGACCAAGGTGCATGGCGCGAAGCGCCACTGCGAAAGGTGCATGGCGCGAAGCGCCACTGCGATCTTGTATACATATATATATATGTATGTAATTATGGATGTGTATCTCTCTCTATATGTATACACACATATATTCGTGTACCGCGGGGACCTACTAGACACAATGGACATGCAATGTCGCACCAAATGACAACACTGATGCCAATCGATGCGTGATTCCTCAGCCTTTTGGTCCCATCGTGCGACGTTCCGCCACCCTGCCGTTGGCACCGAGTGGAGTGTCCTCAAGTGCCTTCGAGTTCACCGTAGCCTCTCTGAAAGGGCCAAGAACCCGAATCACGGGCGCGCTTCGGCGCTTCCGTGCACTCCTGGGACACTCCACATGATTTGATCGAATTCCTCGGGGGCCAAGCTTGGGGACACCTCGAGCGTGCTCTAAGACAACCTGTGGGGCCCGTGCTGGCGCTTTCTCTGGGGGCATCGTGGGCCGTCTTGGAGGGCCACCGTGCCGAAACCGCTGGGACACATACGCTGCTTTGCGCGCTGCTTCGTATGCTCGCCCGTCAGATCCTGCGAGCTGCCAGGACGGCCCCAGCAGCCCCTGAGATCGCCCCAGGGCGACCCCCAACGCCCCGACGAGGGCACCCCCTGGAGGGCCCCAAGAGGAGGAGGAGGAGAAGGAGAAGGAGAAGGAGGAGGAGGAGGAGGAGGAGGAGGAGGAGGAGAAGGAGGAGGAGGAGGGGGAGAAGGGGGAGGAGGAGAGGAGGAGGAGGGAGGAGGAGGGGGAGCTCGAACTTCCGCTTGGAGCCCCGTGCCTCCACACCGCATGGCCCCGAGGCCGCCGGCGGGCTCTGCAGAGGCCCCCACCCCAAGCAGAAAGAAAGCGCCCGGACGCGGCCTCCAAGAGACTTTGCGGGGATAACGTAAGATCGAACGAACACCTTTCCTCCGCCTCCTCCTCCTCCTCCTCCTGCTCCACTCCTGCCTCCTTCCTCCTCCTCCTTCCTCCTCCTCCTCCTCTACTCCCCCTCCCTCCCAACTCCTCCTCTCAATCCTCCTCCGCCTCCTCCCTCCTCTCCTAGTCTCCTCCTCCTCCTCCTCCTCCGCCCCCACTCCTCCGCCTCCTCCTCCTCCTCATCCTCCTTCTCCTCTCCTCCTCCTCCGCCTCCTCCTCTCCTCCTCCTTCTCTCCTCCTCCTCCTCTCCCTCCTCACCTCCTCCCTCCTCCCTCCTCCTTCCTCCTCCTCCTCCTCCTCCTCCTCCCAACACCAACTCCTCCTCCTCCTCCCCTCCTCCTCCTCCTCCTCCTCCTCCTCCTCCTCCTCCTCCTCCCCATACGTCTTCACAGTGGAGCTCCATGGTTTATCAAACAAGCCCAACCTTTTTGGAGGGGACCTAAGTTATGAGGGCCCAACACATCAGTCAAGAATAAAGGTTTTTTCTCTGCAAACGTGCCGAACCACAACGCCCGGAATTCCTATCCTTGATGCGAAGACGGGGACCTCAGTGAGGCCGCGTCTTCATCGTGTTATTCGGGTAAGGGCTTTTTTCTGCTCTCGACGATCCCACGTTGTCTCTGAAAAAGCCTCTGGTCCACGACCTATGGCACGGTGGTGGAAGGGGCTGCAGGCCACTACGGCCCGACCTGGGCCAAAAGAACATCCCTCAAGAACATGAGGCCCTCCACCGGCCAACACACACACAGAGAACACCCAAGGGTACCATTCCCAGCATGCACAAGAACATCCGACAAACACGAAGAACACTAGGGTACCCTCCCCGAACCGACCTCGATCTTGTACCTCGGTCCGACTGTAGACATCCGCCGCCCCAGTAGCTTACAGGAGGGTGCTCTGCGTGCCAGACATTTGGGCAACTGCTGGCCCTTCGCGAAGAGGTTACCGGTGGGAAGTCGGCCCAACCGAACCAAACAACCCAGATCAAGGGAAACACTGCGGTTCTACGATGGCTACGGCGGCTAAACATGCCCTCCAAGTTGGCTCAATATGCTTCCAGACATGTCCAAGTTCCCCTAGACGGCCCAAGATGGCCCCGAGACAGCCCACGAGGCCCCCAAGGCCCTTCAGGAGGGCCCCAAGAGGTCATTGTGTCCCCAAAGGTTTTGAACGTACATATTTCTGCGTTCTCGTCTTCTCTGGCTTCCGACAGACGAAGTCAGCCCCAGAGGCCTCCAAGATAACTCCAAGAAGACCGAATGAACCCCCAGGAGAAGCCCAAGACGGGACGAGAGCCCTCCAAGACAGCCCCAAGATGGCCACAATGCATCCCGAAGACATCCAAGACGGCCTTGCAGCGCCCCAAGAAGGCCCCACAACTGCCTCCAAAACCTCCGACGGGCCAATAGAGCCTTAAGACTGCCGAGTCGGCCCCCCAGAGGCCTCCAGATGCCCACGAGAGGCTCCAAAGATGCTCCCAGGAAGCCGCCCAGGGCCCCCAAAGATGCACATCCTCCTTCTGCCTCCTCCTCTTCCTCCTCCTCCTCCTCTTCCTCCTCCCCCTCCTCCTCCTCCTCCTCCTCCTCCTCTTCTCTTCTCTCTCTCTCTTCCCCTCCTCCATGTGTCCCACCAATGGTTTCCACAACGCTTGCGGGAACACATAATCCAATCTCTTGCCCAGACGTTGGTCACACATGCGGTTCCGGAAGGCAAGGGGCGGCGGCGGTTCGCTGTAGGCGTCTTCGATCCAAGATCAGACCAGCTTGGATCTCACTCCCCTGACATCTCACGTCGGATCCTGGAAATTCTGCGCGAGGGAGACAGGCGCGGGCTCCCAACTCCGTCTGGCTTATGTGGGTGCAAGTCCCACCACTCCTTCCAAGCACATCTGCGCTGCATCAAATACATCCCCCAATGTATCGCGCGACGTTGTGATAAAACATCGGTTCTGCGACCATCCGTGTTGGGCTTGCCTCCCTCGTTGCTCTTTCGTGGCCAAGGTGGGGCCCGCCGTGCACTTGGCAATCGGACGCAATGATACAACAATCGAGCATATTCGGCGGTGGCCAAACCACCCTTCAGTGAATCACCCTTTAATGAAAACGGCCTAGGACCGAAACCGACGGACCTGGACCCGCAAAAATGACGGCCGCGACGCCCGCTCGCGAACCGCAAACGGCCAAGTCACTAATCGACGTTTCAGGGTAGGAAGTCTATCAAACTCCGACATATGGAACACCCGACAATTCATAGAACATAGAAATATTTACCGTGCCATTCCCTCCGTCTCACACACTCGCAACGCACTGAGCTCAAACTTCCGGGGACGCCGGGGAGATCTGTGCACAACTGGTTCCCTGAATTGGGTCGAGTGCGTTCAGGGGGGACGTTGGTCGTCCACAGGTTCCTGGTGCTGGACGGTGCTTTTCTCGCTTTCTCCAGGGGTGGGGGCTGCGTGGACGGGCGCCGCAGTTGGGGTTGCTGGTTATGTGTATGCGTGCATGCTGACTTGGTCTCGCTCTCGCTTGCATGCGCCCCGCGTTCCAGCTATCGAGCTACGACATTCTACTCTGATCCCGTGCGCACTATTGATGTGTCCTCTCCGATTGTACAGTCCTCTCTCAAGCCACCCCTAAAGCAAAGCACAATTGCAGTCTGCCTCCCACGTCTCCAATGCAAGCCCGCATCCCATGAGGTTGGAAGAATGCCGAAAGGCGGTCGAGATCAATCAAGCTGCTGGTGCCAATGAGACTACTCAGACCTTGCGCATGTAATGCCTCAAGGGTGCCTCCCGCCATGCCAGCAAGTCGTCTGGAAGTCAGATGGCCGCCTCTGGTGGGAAATCCACGTGGCAAACGTAACAAGCACTGACTAAACGCAAAGGCACATAGCAGTCATTAGCAGAACCTGCGAAACGTGCGTGCTCATCAGAAGTCCCCATGGAGGACGGACAGGACATAGACGGATCGAGAGCTCACGTAGAGGGTTCCACTGCAACCCGAGCGGACAAAGCCAGGAAACGTTGCAATCTGAACGGGCCTCGTGGGGGGCCTGGCTCGAGACGTGCAGCAACAACGTGCACCAAAGGATGCACGGCGCTGCTGCCGATCGTGCAACAACTGCCGTGCTACTGCGCGGCGCCTGCGAGTCCATCTTGTTGTTATTCGCGAGAACGCTCGTGACACGCCCCGCCCCACATCCCTTCGATTCGGGCGGAAATCCCACCAGCCCTTTGGGCGTGAGTGGTTTAGAGAACCCTCTCTGTCCTCAACCCCCCTTCTTCCCCTCCGGGGAGGGGTTTACCCCTCCCCCTACCCCCTCCCCCTGGGCCTGGACAGGGAGTTCCGCGGGTGGTCAGGGGGGTCTTTTTCGACGCCTGGGAGGGCCAAACAACGACGACCTTCACGAGGATTCTGGCCCCGACGGGGGGGCGCTCTTGTAGCCCCCTCCTCTTCTGTGAAGCCAAAATCATTGCTTTTACGAAGGTTTTGGCCCCATTTTGGCCTCCCGAGGGGGCCGCGCTCATCTTCCTTCATAGCAACATCATTGATTTTACGAGGGTTTTGGGCTCATTTTGTCATTCTCAAGGGGGCAGCGCTTCGTGGCGCTTCTGAGGAGGTCGCAAGAAGCCCCAAGATGGCCCCAAGAGGCCCCCAGGAGCCTCCCAAGAGGCCTCCAAGAGGTCCCCAAGAGGCCCCCAAGAGGCCCCCAGAGGCCCCCAAGAGGCCCCCAAAAGGCCCCCAAGAGGCCCCCAGAGGCCCCAGGAGGCCCCCAAGAGGGCTCCAAGAGGCCCCCAAGAGGCCCCCAAGAGGCCCCACGAGGAGGCTCCAAGAGGCCGCCAAGAGGCCCCCCGAGGAGCCCGAACGACTCACACCAGGACGAGGGGCTGGAACGACTCATACCACGAAGAACCCGAACGACTCACGCCGGAAGGAGGACCCCGAACGACTCACACCAGGACGAGGCGCCCGAACGACTCACACCACGAGGAGCCCGAACGACTCACACCACGACGCGGGCCCCGAACGACTCACACCACGAGGAGCCCGAACGAGTCACACCAGGAGGAGGGGCCCGAACGACTCACACCAGGATGAGGGGCCCGAACAACTCACACCACGAGAAGCCCGAACGACTCACACCAGGACGAAGAGCCCGAACGACTCACACCACGAAGAGCCCGAACGACTCACACCAGGAAGAAGGGCCCCAACGACTCACACCAGGACGAGAAACCCCAAACGACTCAAATCACGAGGAGCGCTTTCTCTCCCTCCTCCTCCGCCTCGTCCTTCTCCCGCTCACCCCACAAGGAGGATGTACAAGGAGGCGGGAGGAAGGAGGAACAGGGGAGATATGCGGGGCCAAGCGGACGCACGCCTGAAAAACACGACTGTCGGCATGCTTCGCAAGAGTTGCTGCTGTGAGATGGGCTGGTGGGGATACGCAAAGCGTAAAGAATTAATGAGGGGGCGATAGATTTAGGTCGGGCCTGTCCTCCTACAAGCGGATTACGAAGGAACGCAAACATTGAAACATGTTCCCACGCATTCAAAACATGAGAGAAACATCGTTCCCAGACTATTTTTGAATATTTTTGATTTTTCCTCCTGTAGAAGAACATGCCCGAACAAGAGGCACGCGTGCCGAGGATCATACATTCACGGATGCGGGACAATGGAAGATGGAGATGGCGCCAACCCGTGGTAGTTTCGGGGAACCGCGCGAGTGCTGCGACAAGTTGGCGAATGACCATGACGGGGGAGCATGGCTGTGTGGACGCAAGGCCAGGTTCGATCCGAAGGCGATCTTAACACGACGGGAGAGGTTTGCGAGGCTGCAACGCCGTGTGTTATAATGCAGGCCCCATGTATGGAGCGAATCGCTTGGTCCCAAGAGGGGGGGCGCGATGGTATGCGTAGCCAAGATCCGCCACCGTGTCTTCAGCACGTTGTGGAGTGACCGAAGGCTCAGGCAGCCCTGAAAGGCAAGGGGGTTGTGAGGTTCTTAACGGCCCCGACCCTTGGTTTCGCAGGCGCTCTTGCTCGCTCTTGCGCGGGGCCGCGTGGGCTTTTGGGACTCCACGAAGGCCCGAAGACGGGCCAAGAGGGCCCTCAGAGACTCCCAAGACGGTGGAAAAGGGCCCCGAGTTGTCGAACGATCGGTCCAAGACGCCCAAGATGGCCTCCACACGGCCCAAGATGCCCCCAATACGCCCCACGAGGCCTTCAAGAGACCTTCCGAAAGGGCTCCCAGAAACAGAAATAAGAGATGTTTGGTCAGTTTTGGAGAGACTGATCGCTCTTGTGAGCCTTGGTGTGAAGACCTTTTTTGCGTCACTGTGAGCTCGTCGGAACCATGTTGTCATTTGCTGGGTAGTCGAAGCCAATCTGGCGCCAATCTGGCAGGCCCAATCTGGCAAACGGGGGCAGTCTGGCGAGGGAGCCAGCGCGGATCCAGTCTGGCTAACCCAAATCATCCAGTTTGGCCGGGCCAGATTGGCCCTTGGGGCCCAATCCAACCTGACAGTCTGGCCTTCGACTACCCAAATTTGGAGCCACGGCCGGTCAGTCGGAACAAGCAGAGAGGAGGTGGTACCGGGGAGCCACGGTCGGGAAGGGAAGGGGGGGGGGGCGGGCACGACGGGTCGGCCGGAGTAAGCAGATGGGGGGGGGGGGCACGGGGGGGAAAAGGGGGAAGTGCGGGGGGCAACGGTCGGGCAGCGGGGGGAGAGCACGGTCCGTCGGTCGGAACAAAGAGGGGGGGGCCACGGAGGGCATGGGGGGGGGCACGGGCGGCCGCGGTCGGGCAGAGGGGTGGGCACGGCCGGGCGGTCGGGATAAGCAGAGGGTGGGCCACTGGGGGAAGGGGGACCGCGGGGGGTCACGGTCGGGAAGGGGGGCGGGGGGCACGGTCGGTCGATCGGAATAAGCAGAGGGGGGAAGCAGGGGGGGGAATAACAAAGAGGGGGGCACGGGGGGAAGGGTGCACGGGGGGACACGGTCAGGCCAGGCAGGGGGGTGGACGGTCGAACGGTTGGAACTGACAGAAGGGGGGGGGCACAAAGGGCAGCGACGGGGGCACGGGGGGCAACGACGGGCTGGGGTGGCGCACGGTCGGTGGTCGGAATAAGGGGGGGCACGGGGGGCCACGGTCGGGCAGGGGGATGCGGTCGGTCGGTCGTCGGGGGGGGATGGCAAAAGGGGGGGAGGGGGGGGGGGGCACGGTCGGGCAGAGGGGGGGCACGGAGGGCCATGGTCGGGCGAGGGGGGGGCGCGGTCGGTCGGTCGGAACAAGCAGAAGGGGGGGGTGGGGGGGCACGGCAGGGGAGGGGCACGGGGGGCCACGGTCGAGCAGGGGGGGGGGGCACGGACGGTCGGTCGAAATCAACAGAGGGAAGTGGCAAGGAGAGCAGAGGGGGCACGGGGAGCCACGTCGGACAGAGAGGGGGCGAGGGCACGGTCGGTCGGTGGGAATAAGCATACGGGGGGGGGCACAATGAGAAAGGTGGGAGGCACGGGGTGCCAAAGTCCTGTAGGGGCGGGGGGGGCACGGTCGGTCGGCTGGATTAAGCAGAAGGCGGTGGCCACGGGAGGAAGGGCGGGGGCACGAAGGGCCACGGTCAAACAGAGGGAGAAGGCACGGCCGGTCGGTCGGAATGAGCAGAAGGGTGGGGCACAGGGGGGAAGGGGGGCACGGGGGGGGGGCCACGGTCGGGCAAGGAGGGGGGGGGGCATGGCCGGTCGACCGGAATAAGCAGAGGGGGTGGCATAGGAGGAGGAGGGGGGAAACAAGGGGGGCCACGGTCGGGCAGTGGGGGTGGGGGGCACGGTCGGTCGGTCCGAATACGCACAGAGGGGGGGGACGGGCAGTGTGGGGGGAGGAGGGCACGGTCGGTCGGTTGGAATAAGCAGAAGGGGGGGCCACAGGGGGAGGGGGGCAGGGTGGGTTACGGTCGGGCAGGGGGGGGGCACCACGGTCGGACGGGGAGTGGGCGCGGTCGGTCGGTCGGAATGAGCACAGGGGGGGGCACAGGGGCAAGAGGGGGGGTGCACGGGGGGTCATTGTCGGGCGGAAATGAGGGGGGGCACGGTCGGTTTGTCGGCGCCCAACACACCGAGGCAATACACGGACACATCCCAACACCGAGAACACCAAGGCAATATCCCAGCACCGAGCGCACCGAGGCAGTACACATCCCAGTACGCAGCCTGGCCCAGTCTGGGCCCGAAAGGGCAGGGCCCTACAGGGCCCTTTTTCAGCAGCCCTCGCTGCCCCCCCCCCATGTATCGCCCCCCCCCCACATTACGCGGCCTCCAACTGATTACGTCACGATTTGTGCTGGCGTTGTCTGGGAATCCACCTCTCTGTACGTGTAATACGTGTAATGCCCGCCCCTGGGCTATTCGCCCCTGTCGTCGTTTCCGAGGGCCCCTGGGGAACCTTCCCCGCCAGGCAGGGGGGGGAGGGGTCGGCGCCAGCCTCGCAGAGGCCACCTTGACCAAGCCCGACCGGTGGACGCCCGAAACAGATACGGGAAACACTTGGCACGATGCCCAACAACAGGTCTTGTCCAACAACGACTGCGGCCGCTGTTCGGGCAGGCGGCCTCGCGTCTTCCAGGAGCACCGCCCGCGGCGGCGCAACAGCGAGTCCTGTGCAAAACAAGCGTGAACTGCTGCTGGGCATCGTCCCCGCTCTCTCCGTGCCCATGTCGATCGCCCCGATCCTTGAGCTCTGGCGGCCCTGCGACGTGGAGCCGCGGCCCGTCTCCTCTCGGCCGAGGACCTCGCCCGCCGCGCAGATGGGCATCCTGCACCGCCCTCGGTGTGTCCGCGCGCGCGCGCGCGGTGCACCTGGCACTTTTGGACGTTGCTTCAGTGGGGGGGGCGACAACGGGGGGGGGGAAGGGGGAAGGCACGTGCACCTTTCGTTCCCCTTGTGGGCTCCCCAGGTGACCCTTTAGGGCCCCTGGGGTGCACGAAAAGTGAACCTGTCTTCACACCCTCATCTACCGCCCCCCCCCACTGCGCAACGCGGCGCTGCGCAGTGGTGGGGGCGGGCGGTAAATGGGGGGGTGACGAGGGGGGGACGTGAGAAGAAGGAGAAGGCCTGCTCGGTGGCGATGACACTCGGCGGCGAGCGAGGGAAGTGAGGAGAAGGCCTTCTCGGAAGCTTCGGAGGTCCCCCAGCCTCCTGAGAAGTCCTCCAAGAGCCTCCCCCGCAGACCCACCACAACTTCTCAGACGGCCCGAGGGCCTCCGAGACGTCCCGCCGACCTTCTGAGAAGGCCTCCTCCTTCTGACCTCCCCCCCTCGCTCGCCGCCGAGACACTCCGCGCGGCGGTCTCTGGGCGCGTTCGCGCTCCCGCTCCCTGGGAGCCCTCGGCACGGCGGCGGGCACGAGCCTCCGCACGGCGCCTCCTCCGTCGCCCTGGCCTTCCTCTTCGAGCTCCGCGGTGCGCTCTCCGCGGGGCTCGCTGCCCCCCCGATCCCGTCTTGCGCGCTTCGCGCCGAGAGAGCGACACCGTCGGCCCGTGTCGTAAGGAGGCGCGATGAGGATGCAAGGGCCCTGGACGCCCGCTTCTTCGGGCGGGGCGCGACCAGCGAGAGGGGCCAAGGATGGGCCGAGGGGGCAAGGATGCAAGGGTACCCTTGGGAAGGTTGCCCATCCATACCATGCGGGTTGACTTCAGGAGGGGAAGAAACACACAGACACAATTAATCGTCGATTCCCAGGAGCATATGGGAAAATATGGGAATTAGGGGGGAAGACGAAAACCCAGAAAATATGAGACCATCTTTTTTTATGTGTGTGTATTTAGTTGTGTCTCCTGGGGCCCCTTCATGACTGTAGAGGAAGAACAGACTGCATGAACATAATCTGTCGGAGGTCCGCGCGGACATCTTGGATCGGCGTCGGGGTCCCCATGGCGACCCACCCAAGGACGCTCGCCCTGGCTCCGCTTCCCAACGCGTGCATGCCTGGAACCGACATGGGCCTGGTGAGAACCGTCCTGTGCCGACAAGGCACCATCTTCGGCGCCGCTTCCGTGCATGGCCGACCCTGCTCTCGGGTGCGCTCCCGGTTTCGTTGGACGGTCCCCTATGGGTCCCAACTGGCTCCCTCACAGATGCCCCCTATTCTCAAAGCGCGGCTTCTTACAAGACCTGCCCCACCCTGTCTCTCCCCCTCTGCGACTGCATCGCAAGGAGTGCGTCTCGCTCGCTGGGAGGTCGCACTGCGTGTACGTCGTGGGAGGTGTCTGCCTTGGCGTTGGTCTGGGTCTCCAGAGAGGTTTGGACCTCCAGAAACCTTTGTTGACCCAGACCTCTGGCCACTCGACGATAGGAGAACAACCCGTCAGAATTGTTTTGTCAACTTCGGCCTCTGGAGGTCTTTTCCAAGCCCCCGGACCATTGAGCAACATTCAACGTGAAAGAGAGACGAGCCCAAAGAACGTGTCGTGAACTCTGGGTGCCAGCAACTCTGGATGAAGAAACAACTGCACAAGCATAAACTATTCCGCGCGGACTTCTTGAAACTGCGCTGAACCCCCCTGGCGGCGCCTCCGGCGCCGCCCCTGGCGCGCTCCGCGCGCCAAAGGAGGGGGTCCAACGCAGATCCAAGAAATCCGCGCGGACCGTCAAAGTTCTGGTTGCTGCTGTTCCCTTGTTCTTCCTCGAAGCGGCCTGGTCTGCAGGGCCGAGGAGGAACAGCGCAGGGGTGCGGGGTCGGCACCCACCTCAGCATCATCTTCGAGACTTTTCGTACGAGCCTTTTTTTGTATTGTCTTACGGCCGGCTGGACCTTTTCGTTGCGAGCGATCCCAACTGGTTTCCCTGGTGGTGGTACGTGTTGAGCGCCGACGGTTCAGTTCATTCTCCAGCTCCCTGGTCTCGACAAAGGCTCCCAGGAAGATATCAACAGAGAATAGTTCGTGCGTCAGTCACGCTCGCTGCCCACAAAGTCCCTCGAGCCGCCAGATGCGCCAGTGCATCGCGTGCCAAATCCCCAATCAACCCGACCTCACGCATCATTACGAACACCAGACTCGACGTCCCCTCATCGAATCCGACGACAGGAAGCAGAAAGACCTGGACGCATGACGCATGAGCCCTGGGCTTCATTGCCACCTGCTTTTGCTCGCAACGAGTGGCACCCAAAACCGTGCTGGGCTAGCTACTGGCCAAATGGCCACCCCAGGGCCAAATACAAAAAGTTTGTTCGGGTCGGGCGAAAAGGGGGGATAGCACAGGGGGGGTTTGAAAATCAGCTCACGTAGCTGATTTTCCCAGCGCCTCCCGGCGCCGGAGGCGGCTATGTATCGAGGAATGGGCTCCTTGGTGAGGCCGAAACCAGCTGCATGCAGCAAATTTCGTAACCCCCCCTTTCCCAATCCCCCCCTTTCGCCCGGCCCGATTTGTATTCAAAGGGAACCTGCGCAGGCTGAATTGCTGCTACACCGCGCTAGCCTAGCAAATGCTGCTGCACTGACACCGTGGCAGCAGGTGCCGGATCGTGAGGGACACGCGCCGCCCCCGCTTCAGCGAGTCGCCCGTCGACAGCCCGATGTCCTTGGCGTTGCGCACCTGCGGGCCGATCTCGTCCTCCTCGACGGCCTGTATGCCATGACGGTGGTTTATGAACGCGCTCCCTGAGAAGATCAGGAGGCTGCCGGGCTCCAGCAATATCGAGAGCTTCGGCTTGCAACCTCGGGGGTCTTCTGACCCGGGTCAATCCAGACCCAGGTCAGTCAGGCCTTGCCGAACCCTGCAAGATCCTGCACCCAAACCCGGGTCAATGCGAAGGTTCCTGCAAGATCCTGCAGGACCCTGCACCCAAACCCAGGTCAATGCGCCCCTGGCCCTGCAGAATCCTGCAAGATCTGGCGCTCTGGCTGACCCCCGTCTGCATTGACCCCCGTCTCAAGGCTCCCAGCGACCCACGGGCATGTCCGGACCGGCCGGCACCTCCTTGTCGCGGTCCCACTGGAAGGGGCCCCTCTTGTCGTCGTCGGGGTCCACGCGTGGGTAAAAATCCGCCCGCCGAGCTCTCCTGGCATCCTCCGGCCCCGCCCCTGAGGAGGAGGGGGAGGAGGAGGAGGAGGAGGAGGAGGAGGAGGAGGAGGGGGAGGAGGAGGAGGAGGAGGAGGAGGAGGGGGAGGGAGGAGGAGGAGGAGGAGGAGAGGAGAGGAGGAGAGGAGGAGGTTGAGGAGGAGAAGGAGGAGGAGGGGGAGGAGGAGTAGGAGGAGCAGCAGCAGCAGCTGCAGCAGCAAGAAGACCAGGAGGGGGAGTGGGGGAGGCGGAAGAGGTAAGCTGATGAGGGAGGGTGGACGAGGAACAGGGGGATGAGGAGCAGGAGGCGTAGAAACAAGAGGACGTCGCAGAATCATGATGGTTCTGATGCTGCGCAGGATGAGGATGGGCAGATGGAGGGACGAGTGAGAGCAGGATGGTATTCAGGAAACAATCAGCATGGATAACGTGAGTGATGACGACTGCGATGAGGATAATGATAATGAACGAAGAGGGCGGACGGAGTGAAGAGGGAGGAGGGAGGGAGGAAATGTGAGGGAAGCATGGGCGGGCAACAGGAGTAGGAGAAGGAGCAAGAATGGGAGGAGGACTAGCAGCGCCAGGAGGGATGAGGAGTAGGAGTGAAGAGACTGTAAGGGTGGAGGAGGGGGATGAGCAGGAGGGAGGAGACACGACGAATAGGAGGAATAGCAGGAGGGGACGTGGAACAGGAGGATGAGGAAGAGCAGGCTGATGATGATGATGATGATGATGATGAGGATGCTGATGCTTATGATGATGACGACGATGATGGTGATGATGATGATGCCGCGGATGGTGATGACGATAATGGTGACGATGACGACGAATACGATGACGATGTTGCTGATGATGCGGATGCTGATGATTGTGATGATGATAGTGATGAGGATCATGGTGGTGGTGCTGGTAATGATAATAATGCGAATGATGATGATGATGATGATGATGATGATGATGATCATGCTGATGATGGTGCTGATCATGCTCATGATGATCATGCTACCGATAGCGATGACGACGATGATGCTGATGCTGATGATGATAACGATATTGAGGTTGCTGATTATGATGATGATGTTGATGCTGCTGATGATGATGCTTTTGCTCATGATTGCGATGATATGTCCGATGATGAAGTTGCTGATGTTCGTGGCGGTAGTGATGCATATGGTGTTGCTGATAGTGGTGGTTATGATACGATCAAAATGCTGATGCTTGTAATGACGATTGTGATGATGACGATGACGATACCGATACAGTTGATGATGAGGAGGAGGAGGCGGAGGAGGAGGAAGATGATGCTGCTGCTGATGCTGATGATGAGGAACAGAAGGAGGATCAACAGGAGGAGGAGAAGGAGGCGGCGGAAGTGGAAGAAGAGGAGAACCAGAGTGCGAGGATGCGGAGGACGACGATGAGGATGAAACTTACCAGACGAAACAAGATACCGGTGATGAGGAGAAATGGGAGGAGGAGGATCAGCGTGAGGAGAAGGAGTGCAAGACATGGACTCTTGGGAGCCTCCTGGGGACGTTGCTGCACATCCTGAGGCCCCCCCTTGTGCCTCCCGGATGCCTCCTCAAAGCCCTGCTGGGGGCCTCCCCTGACATCCGAAGTCGCGCAAACCAATCACGACGTCGTTGAGAATTGCGACTGGTGCCCGCGGCCCCATGGTTCTGTCTCGTTGACAAATCTGGATGGTATGGGAGGGGGAGGAAGCGAAGTGGGGGAGAACCACGAAGGATGGGAGAGGGGGGAGGGTGGCGGGCGGATGGACAGGGAGGGAATTGTGGAAGAGGGGTGCTGAAAGGGGGGTGATGGGGGAGAGGAGGGCGGACCCAGAGAGAGAGAGAGAGAGAGAGAAAGAGAGAGAGAGAGAGAGAGAGACAGAGAGACCAACAATAAAGAAGAAGAGGGGATGGGTATGGAGTAAAGGGGTGGGGAGGTAGGGTAGCGCGGAGAAGAGGAGCGAGGGGGGAAAGGAGGCAGGCGGGAGAGGAGGGGGGAGAGAAGGGGGATGGGAAGAGCTGGAGGGGGAGAGGGGGGAATTGAAGAAGAGGGAGGGTCGAGAGGAGGGACGAGATCAGCGGGCCCCCTTGAGCGCGGAAGGCCGTGACGTTTCTTGCTGGCAGGGAGCGAAGGGGCATCAGGATAAGGCAGAGGAAGGGAAAGAGGGGGGCGGCACCGCGGAAGAGATCGGCTGCAGAAATACAGTAAGGGCTCGACCACAAGAGACCTTCCACAACAAAACCGAATCCTGAGACCCCATGACGTCCATTGATTTTCGGTGTGGGTACGCTGCGCTTTGCATAGAAAAACCAATCGAAACCCAAGAAACCCAGGGCAGCCTGGAGGCAAGCAGGGTGTTTCTTGGCACGGGTCTCCACGGTAGGGCCCCGCGTGGAGGCGAGACCGCCGTCCCTGCACGACTGGAGAGCAGCGCGCCCAGCCCAGACATGTGGCCGCCGCCGCAGCGGGCTCGCCACTGTTATCAAGGGCTCCCAGCTTCGCGCTTCGCGCTGCGCGAAGCGCGAAGCGCGAATAACTTCGCGCCCTCGCGCCGCCCCCCCAAAGGGAGAATAGGAGGACGAGGAGGAGGGGGAGAAGGAACGAGGACCGCGAAGCGCGAAGCGCGAATAACTTCGCGCCCTCGAGGGAGCCCTTGAAACATGGATGAACGATCCGTGGATTTGGCGCGCGGTCGCCAAATCCATGGATCGGGGGAGGTGCTCTCCCCAAAATGCGGCCGGTGCCGCCTCGCTCGGCGGCGACAGCCCGCGATTTCCCACGGAAACGGGACCCGTCGCCAATCCACGCCCCCTTGATCCATGCTCGCGACCGCCTGACAGCGGGCGCACAACATGGGCAGGACGCCATCGGAACGCCAAGGAGCCTCCAGGGATGGCGGCATGGTCGCCCTGCTGGCGGGCCACACCGCCTCCTCGGGCCTGCCGGGGATCTTCTGACCCGGGTCAATCCAGACCCGGGTCAATCAGGCCTACACAATCCTGCAAGATCCTGCACCCAAACCCGGGTCAATGCGAAGGATCTTGCAGGATCCTGCAGGATCCTGCACCCAAACCCGGGTCAATGCGACCCTGCCTGGCGCTGCAGGATCCTGCAAGATCTGGCGCTCTGGCTGACCCCCGTCTGCACTGACCCCCGTCTCGAGGCTCCTGGCCACCGCCACCGGGGCGCGTCGGGGCGTCGGGTGGGCGCGCCGTCCGGCCGCTGGGGGTTGCCAGCGGCACGGGCGCTGCACCCCTCCCCAGTTGGTGCTGGGAGGGGGGTGCGGGGGCGAGAGGCCGAGATCGCGCGCGGCCCCCCCCCGCCCAAGTGCTCTCACCGGCACCGCACGGGGAAGAGCGGAGGGAGGGAAGAGGAGGGAGGAGGGCGAAAGGGCGAGGGATGAGCGCGAGGTGACGTAATCCCACCAGCCCTCTGGGCGTGTGTGGTCTAACAGTGTTGTGCCTCCTCTTCCAGAGCCCCTCTTCCCTTCGGGGACGCGTACCCTCCTCACGAGGACCTCCGATGCTCCAAGATGGTCTCCATGATGGCTCAACATAGCCGAAGATGGCTCACGCTGGCTTCCAGCATGCTCCAAGAAACCCCAAATACCGCTCCAAGACGGTTACAAGTGCTCTCGGATTCCCCTCGGGACCCCACCAAGAGGCCAAAATCCTTCAAGAACCTATGGGACATCAATGATGTTTGCCGCATTCCCTTTTTGCTTGCGGTGCGTTTTTCAGGCCTCAAGATTCTATCAAGATGGCCCAAGAAGCTCCCCAGACGGCCCCACTAGAGCCCACGAGGGCCCCAGAGGGGGACCTGGATCGGGGACTCCCCCCTTGTTGATCGATGGCCTCCAAGATGACCCCAGGAAGCTCTCCATGGCTCCCAAGAGGATCCCAAAAGAGCCCCAAGAGGACCCCAAGACCCCCCAAAAGAATTCCAAAAGAGAGCCCCAAGAGGGCCCCCAGGGAGCCCCAAGATGACCCCAAGAGGGCTCAAGAAGACCCCCAGGTGGCTGCCAGAGTCCTAGTCCTCGTCCCCCTCGTCCTCGTCCTCCACGTCCTCTCCTCCTCCTTTCCTCCTCGTCACCCTTTTCGTCCTCGTCCTCATCTTCGTCCTCCTCCCCGTCCTTGCCCTCGTTGTCCTCCTCGTCCTTGTCCTCCTCCTTCTCTTCTTCATTCCTCTTCTTCTCCTCCTCCTACTCCTCCTCCTCCTCATCTTCCTCCTCTTCCTCCTCCTCCTCCGCTTCTGCAATTCATCCGCTTCTGCAATTCATCATGGTTGCCCGCTTTGGCTCACTATATGTCTCTTTCTCCCAAGTCCCGTCAACTCTCATTTCTAGCGTTCCTGAATTGGCTGGTGGGGATGCGCGAAGCGTGACAAACTCGGAAGAGGGGGGAGTAGGAGGGGGAGGGCGACGGACAAGGAGGACACAGAGGAGGAGGAGGCGGGGGTAGATGAGGGTACGAATAACGCAATAGGAAGACCATGTGCAGGATGAGGACGAACGGGCGAGATTGTCAGGATGAGGAGGAGGAGGAGGAGGAGGAGGAGGAGGAGGAGGAGGAGGAGGAGGAAGTGGATCTGTGTGGGGTGGAAGGCAGAGGAGCAAACGCAAGGAGGATGGGGATAATGCCATTGGACTGGAGGGGGGGGGGTACGGAAGGACGAGGAGGAATAAGGTATGGCAAATGCTTGCCAATTGCTTGCTGCATGCTGGCGCACGCGCTGTCTGAGTGCTCGCAAGAGGGCCGCAAACAAGGCCACACCGATCGCTTGACTACAAGGCACGGGTGAACCAGGTGACGCTCGGGACCCGACTCTTCCTCTTCCTTCTCTTCCTCCCTTTCCCCCTCCTCTTCCTCCTGCTCCTCCTCCCCTTTTCCACTTCCTCCATTTCCTCCTCCTCCTCCTCCTCCTCCTCCTCTTCGTCCTGCTCCACCTGCCCTCTCCCTCTTGCCCCTTTCCTCCTCCTCCTCCTCCTCTTCCTCCTCTTCATTTTCCTCCTCCTCCTCCGTCTCCTCTTCCACCCTTTCCTCCTCCTCCTCCTCCTCCTCCTCCTCCTCCTCCTCCTCCTCCTCCTCCTCCTCCTCCTCCTCCTCCCCCTCCACCTCCAACGCCCTGTAAACATCCTCTGCATCTTCTGTTTCGGCCCTCTTCCTCCCTCTTCCTATGTACAACTCCTCCTGCTCCTCCTCTTCCTCCTCCTTCTCCTCCTCCTCCTCCTCCTCCCTCCTCGTCCTTCTCCCTTGTCCTCCTGTTCCCCTTCTCGCATCCCCCTTTTCGTCCTTGTCCTCTCGCTCCTGCACCTCCATCCCCTTCTCCTCTGCACTCTGCCTACTCCTCCTCCTCCTCCTCCTCCTCCTCCTCCTCCTCCTCTTCTGCCTAGGGCCGAGACGCCAAGGGGCCGGTAGTGGCGCAGACCGCTCGAATCAAACACGGTTTGCGAGCCGAGGCTGACGATGGCCGCGCGGGGGAAGTAGACCGGCCCGTCCAAATGGGGGTGGATGCCCTGCCCGGGCTTGTAGGAGTTGAGCCGGACGCTGTTGGCCGGGAACAGCACCGGGTGGAAGACGCCCAGTGTGCTGAGCGCGTTGATGATGTTGCCCTGCCACTGCGGCAGCGCCATCCTCATCAGGCTCCTGCCGCAGGGGCAGCGCTCAGATGAACCGAACTCCTGGGTGTCCCGTGTACTCATGTGCTCCCACTCGCATGTCTTGTCGATGATTCGCATGAACTCGTCGACCTGCTTCGGATCGAGAAAGCTTCGCACGTAGTGCACGTCTTGGATGTCACCAGACAGGTGGTGCGGGACCCATCGCGGCTCGGCCATCGGAGGTGGCTCCACCAACTTGTCAAGCCTCGCGATCACGGCCTTCTTCTGAACATCTGGGCATTCTGAAGCCCTCGGCGGGGGAGGCACCCCACCTGGCACGTGTCGGAAGCACTTGAACTTGCCGACCACGCGCGGGGGCTGCTGGAACGGGCAGAAGTGCCAATCGCCTGCCCAGCTGCTATCCTGCTCCGAGGCGATCCACTGGCCCAATTGGGAGGCGGGCGAGAAGCCGATTGGTGCGACGGATCTGCACGCGTTGGACTTACGCAACATAGAATGCCAGCCGCCAGCGCTGCACACCACGTGAGGGCCTTAAAGCGAAGGCTTGCGCGCGAACGTCCGCTCACATGGCCAATCGCGACACTGACATGAGCATTGTGGTGCAATCCTGCATTGGGGTAAGAGAGCATTGTGCAAGAAGACACCGTGCTCTCGACCGTCGACCTTCGCAGTAGCTTCTGGCAAGTCACTCGTCTTGCCCACGGGCTCGATCCAAACTGTATCGCATTAAATCCGAGTCATCTCTTTGTAAGCATCTGTTTAAGCTGGGGTGTGAACTGCACCTCAAGAAGCACCACGTCACGACGGCGTATAACGAGCCAATGGACCAAACCCATCAATCTTTCTCAACGGCGAGACGGTCAGGGGTCCTCTCTGGCGCCCTGGCGTAGTGGGATGCGTGGTGCATGCCTCTCCGCACAATTAGCTGCCACATTCGTTTCATGCCGACCCCTGCCCATCCTGGTCCCATCGACATGGCTGGCTCCAGAACCCCTTGCTCTTACAACAGTGCGATGACGCCTCAATGTCACTGCAGCCACCCTCCGCCGCTGGAACCGCTCTCTCGCGCTGCCTCCTCAAGCTTCCACCGAAGGCGAGATGTGCCGCAGGCGGGGCCATTTCGGAACGCCCTACACAAAAAATGATAACCACGGCACGAACAAAAACTGTCGGAACTCCGCGCGGTTTTTTGAGAGTGGCGCTGGAGGCGCCGCCAAGGGGGATCCCATGGCCGACCCAAGACACCGCGCGGTTCTCGCATGATCTTCGCTAATACGATTTCGCTTTCTCCGGCTACATGTGCCTCCCCCTCCCTCCCTCGTCCTCCCCCTCCTCCCCGCTCGTCCCGCCCTGCTCCTCCCTCTTCTGTTTTCCCTCCTCCCTCCTTGCCCCTCCTTACCCCTCCTCCTCCTCCTCCTCCTCCTCCTCTTCCTCCTCCTCCTCCTCCTCCTCCTCCTCCTCCTCCGCCTCCTCCCTCCCTTCCCCCCCCCCCCCCCCTCCACCTCCTCCTCCTCCTCCTCCTCCTCCTCCTCCTCCGCCCCCTCCTCTCTCTAATCCTCCTTCTTTTCCGCCTCATCCCTCCCGTCCCCCTCTCGGAGGGTAAATCGAAACAGCAGCAGCATTCCCTGGCGTTTTTCGCTCTCTTCGGGCCTCCTGGAGCTGGCGGCGCGCAGGGGGGGGGAAGGTTTTTTAGAAGCAGGCTGCTTCTCAGAAAGCGCGGGCCTTACATCTACAGACGAGGCCTCCTAAGAAACAATCTCATTTCGGGCGTTGGAAGAACTGGGTTTAGTGGGACCTGGTTTAGTGATGTGTACTGGGGGACGACCCCCCCCGCTCCGTTCCACTAACCGCAACTGCCGTCACCCGAAAAGCACCTGAAACGGCAGACCTGGTTTAGTGATTGTGGCCAATTTAGGGGCTCCAGGGCCCTACCACTAACCGGGTCCCCTTACCTGGGGTCCTGGCTATACCCGATCCTCCTAAGAAACCTTTTGCCTCCCTCTACCCCCGCTTTGGCGGGTGGCTGATGGAGGCTTCTCGTCGCCACGGCTGGACCCGCGTCGAGGCACGGGCCAGGATGGATCCCTGGAGGATCGGGGATCGACTAACCCGGGTCAGTCCCAACCCGTGTCAGCCAGGCGTTCCAAGATCCTGCAAGATCCTGCGGGATCTGGTCGGACCGAGGTATAAGATCGAGGTCGGTTCGGGGAGGGCACCCTCATGTTCTTCGTGCTTGCTGGATGTTCTCATGCTGCAGGATCATGCGCCCTGGCCCGGATCGGTGCAGCCCTGGCTCTGCAAGATCCTGTGGGATTCGGCGCCCCGGCTGACCCCTGTCTGCATGCCGGTGGCGACGATAGGGGCGAATAGCCCAGGGGCGAGCATTACACGTACTCGCCCGGAAGCCTCGCCGAAGGCATGGACCATCGGCGCCCCTGGATACATTTGGCGGACTCCGGAAACCCTGAACCCAAAAATGTTGTCATTCCGCCTCCTCCTCCTCCTCCTTCTCCTCCCACCCCTGCTCCCTCCCAGGGCCAGCGAACGGTCAGGTCATCTCTTGGGGGCGCACGTCTTACTTCCGTCACCTTCCGCCGCCCCTCTGCTGGCTTCCGCAGGCGGAGGCGGCCTCGTTCTGCTTGCGCCGACCTTCCGCCACCTTCCGCCGAGGAAGAGATGGCAACTCCTTCGATCCTCGACGGCAAGGCCCTTTCTGGAACGCCCCAGATATGATACACCCTGCGAAATGCTTAAGAAATCATGGGTTAAGAAATTCATAGTCTCAGAACTTGAGTAAAAAACCAGAATGTCTATCAAAATCTTGGGATTTACATTGAAAAGTTAAGAATAATCGAGACTCTGGACGAAAACTTAAGTTTTCTTAAGCATCGCCTAAGGTGTACACCAAAAACCCGAACCCTTTGGGAGGGGACCTAAGTCAGGAGGGCCACGAGCATGAGGGATAGGGGGCCTTTTCTGCAGATGTATCGGACCAAGCCGCCTAGACTTGTTATCCCTGACGCGACGACGGGGACCTACTTGAGGCCACGCCTTCATCGTGTTATTAGGGTTCAGGTGTTCTTTTGTTCTCGATGAATGTATTTGCTATCTCACCTGGGCTATTCGCCCTGCTCGTCGCCTCCGAGCATTGGCCCCCGTCTCATGCCTCCCGAGAGGGGCCCGACGGAGCGGCGCTGGGCCCCCTTCTGGGCCGTCTCTGCGATGCCCTGGGGACCTGTGCGGCTCCCCAAGGGGCGGGCCTCAAGCAGTGGGAGCTCCAGCCTGGGATCCTCTCCCATCTCGGCGGTGAGCGAGGGGGGAAGTGAGAAGGAGAAGGCCTTCTCAGAAGGCGGCGGGACTTCTCGGAAGCCCTCGCGCCTTCTGAGAAGTTCTTTCTGTCTTCGGGGACGCCTTAGAACACTTCTTAGAAGGCCGGGGGACTTCCGAGCCCTGCGAGAAAGCCTTCTCCTTCTCACTTCCCCCCCTCGCTCGCCGCCGACCATCCTCGGGGCCGTAGCTGCCCCGACTCGCAGCACGCGACACGTGGCATATTGATACGGAGCTCAGCACGTGCACTGAAAACGCAAGCCTGACGTGACGCGTTCGCCGAGACGTGGGCCGATACGCTGAACCAGCACGCAACGCCTTGACACGGGCGTGCTGAGCACGGTGCGTGCTGCGTATCCAAGCGGGCGTGCCGAGGCAGCCAAGTCGGGGCCTCTCCCTCGGGGCCCCATCCTTTCCACTGGGGACGACAGTAAATAATAAGGGGGAGGGGCCCGCGGACCCGGGCGTGCTAAGATCCCCGGTACCTGGTTAACAGTATTTCTAATTCGCGCGCGCGGGGCGGCCCCTGGGGGTCCCCGGACGAAAAGTACCCCGGCAAGGTCCCGGCAAGTCCCCGGCAAGGTCCCGGCAAGGTCGGGCCAGAGATGCCGGAGTTCTGTTTCGGAGTCCAAGAGGGCTCCAGATCGGTCCAAGAGGGCCCCGAGAAGCTTTCTAGACGGTCCAAGAGAGGCCCGAGACGGCCAAAGATCGCCCGAAGACGCCCCAGATGGACCCAAGACAGCCCAAGAGGCCTCCAAGACGCTCCAAGGGCCTTCCAAGAGGCCTCCGAAGAGGGCCCCAAGTTGCCAAAATCGTTGATGTTCATTGGTTTTTTCGATGTTTTTTGCGTTCTGGCCTTTTCGCTTCCGGACGCTCCAAGAGGGCCCAAGAGGCCTTCAAGACTGCTCCAAGACGGCCCACGAGGCTCCCAAGACGGCCCCGGAGCGGCCCAAGCGCGCCCCCCAGACGGCCCAAGTGCCGCCCAAGGCGGACCAAGAGGCCCCAAGACGGGCCCAAGAGGGGCTCAAGAAGGGAACCGAGAACTGAAAAATCGAGCCCTCCGCCCAAGAAGGCGCCCAGGACCCCGAAAGAGGCCCCAAGAGACTCTCCAAGACACCCCCAAGACGCCCCAATAAGCTCCCGTGAGGCCCCAAGAGGACCAACAACGTCAGGCCCCAGGCCCCAAGAGGACCAACAAATACCGCCAAGAGCCCGCCGAAAGCCCCCCCAGAGACCGTCACGAGAGCTCAGGAGGCCCCCTGGAGGCCTCCCGAGTTCTCCAAGAGGCCTAAAAAGAGGCTCCAAGAGGCCCCAAACGGCCCCAACGAGGCTCCAAGAGGCCACGAACGCGCAAGCAAACGCCTGCGATGGCACAATACGGGCCGGCGGAATGAGCGAAGCGATTAATAATAAGGGGGAGGGGCCCGCGGAGTGCGGAGTGTGGGGGGGGGGGGCGTCGACCTGGAGGCGGCGCGGCACATCGCCAGGAGCTCGGCGATGGGCCACGCCGCAGCGAGTCCGAGCGCTCCTGGGCGGGGCGGGCTGCAGAGCCCCACCGGCGATCGAGGGGCGATGGGGGATCGATGCGCCCCCCCCGGGGCCTCATTCACTGCGACATCAAGCCCGCAAACATCCCGATGCGAGGATCGCCGCAGACGCGCGGCTGCTTCGAGAAGCAGGCGCTTGTATCACGTGAGCTCGGCGAATGGGATCCCGTCGCGCCGTGCCCAAAGAGCAAGCTGCAGTTCGACTGGCAGATCCCGAGTTCCTTCGAGGCGCTCGTCGTCGACGTCCTGGCGCTGCCCCTGCTCGAAGCGCCGATCCAAACGTTGGCGAGGGATGGGGCTAAGTCGGGCCTGTCCCTCCACAGGAAGAAGATTCGAAAACAGTCAAGCAATCGTCAGGGGACGACTTTTTCTGACAGTTTTGAACATTTTCGTGGTATTTTCTATTTTTCGTCCAGACCCCGCCTGTAGGGGGACACGCCCGACCTACGGAGGGGGTCGGCGGAGCGGCGCTGGGCCCCTCTTGGACGTTCGCGATGCCCCGGAACCTGTGCGGCTCCCCGTGGACGTGCGTCTGGGTGGTGGGCGAGTACTGGTAGATGTCCACCTGGAAGCCCACGACGGTCCCCTCGGAGACCCACTTGCCGACGCCCCGCCCGATCAGGTCGCTCGAGGCGGCCAGGTAGACGATGTCGCCACTCTCGGTGAAGATGCACCGGCCGAGCACGGCATCCGTGCACTGCAGGATCGACGCGCTGGTCGGAGGAGGGCCAATTGAGACAACGGCAACTCTCCCAGCGGGCCCACAGCTGGGGAAACCACAAGGTACCGATACTGCTACTCCGACCTCTCCCGGGGTGCGTTCTGACCAGAATTTCGAGGCGAATCCAGCGGTGGCGGCGAGGGCCTTCCAGAAGGGCTCAATAGGGGAAAACGAGAGAAGGGTACAGTCAGCCCGTATGGTAAGGATGCGCGATAAGGCTGTAAGGGCCGTGGCAGGCCATCTTCACGATTCTCGAAGGCTCGAAACCTAGGGGCGCAGGGCAAACATGCAAGGATGCAGGGGTGACCTTGGGCAAAAGTTACTCCTCCTTGCAGCGCGGGTTGCCTGTAGCGGCATGGGTTCCTTCACCCCCGCTGAGGCTCCGCTCAAAGCCTGTCCTTCGGCTCCCTCCCAGGGCCCCCCTGGACCTGTGTTCTGTAGAGACGCATCGGGCCGTGGCGGCGACGGGCCTCCAGGAGAAGCCCCCCAAGCAGAGAGCATTGTAAGTGCCAGGGAGAGGGCGGCCGTCGCCGCCGTCGTCATGGAGGGGGGGGAGGAGGCGGAGGAGGAGGGGGAGGCGGAGGAGGAGGCGGAGGAGGAGGGGGAGGCGGAGGAAGAGGAGGAGGAGGCGCAGAGCTGCTGTTGCCAAGCAACATCGGCAGCGCAAAGCTGATATAGCCACAAACCCCGACCTCAGATCGAGGGGGGGGGCGAGAGGGTAGAATAGCCAAGGGCAGGGTAGAGAATAGACTCACGCTGCTGGTTTTCCCGCTCGAAATCCTGCTCGAGCCACAAGCCCCCGACCTCAGATCGGGGGCGGCGACAGGCCAGGAGGCACCTACTGGGAGGTCTTCGTCGGAAGTACTAAGGAGAATGAAGCCCCATTGGGGGGCCTACTACGCCGGATTAGGCCGCATATTAAACGGGATTAAACGGGAGTAGACCAGATTAAACCGGATTCCGGACCTGGGCAAAGTCAGAATTCCACCTCCGAGGAGTTGCATCCGAAGGTGTGATAGCAACGGGCAGGGTAGATCAGCTCACGCAACTGGTTTTCCCAACGCCTCCCGGCGACGGGAGGCGCCCCTTGCGCCTCGCGGCGGGGCGGAAACCAGCTGCATAGAGCAAATTTCGTGTCCCCTCCTTCCCTATCCTACACCCTTTCGTCCGGACCCAAAGGAGCTGCCTCTTGGTGTCCTGAGTTGACGTCGGATTTGACATTCTCGCGAAGCTGTGAAGGGCGGCTTGGGTTTTCTCTGGCTGTCGTGAGATCCTCTCGGGCCTTGCAAGCGTCGTTTTGGGGCTCTCTTGGGGCTCTCTTGGGGCTCGGAGGGGTCGTCGAGGGTCTCGTCGGCTGCCTTGGGACGTGTCGGGGGCGTGCTGGGGACATCTCCGGCCGTTGTGGGCCCTCTTGGGCATCCTCCCAGGGCTTCCCCGGGCCTCTTGGGGCCTCCTCGGGGTCTCTTTGCGCGGAAAGCTGGAACTGTGGGTCCGTGCTCCTCCTCTGGGGCCCCTCGTGGGGCGATCCTGGAGCCTTTTTGGGCCTTCCTGGATGCCTCTTCGGCCGTCTTGGTGGCCTGTTGGGCCGTCAGGGCGCCTTCTTGGCAGCATTTTGCTAGATTTTGGGGCGATCTTTGGAGCCCCTTTGGGCCGTCTTGGAGCGTCGGGAAGCCGAAAAGGCGCAAGCGCTAAAAATCATCAAACACTATAGGAATATCTATGACTTTTGACTCCCGGGGTGTCTTGGGAGCTCCCTGGGCCGTCTGGAGGCCATCCTGGACGGTCTGGACCGATCAGTCGGCGACCCTTGGCCCATTTGGAATGTCTTGCGGACCATCTTGGGGCCGTCTGTGCCGCCCGGAAACGAGTCAGCAGAAATTCCTCCGACTTCGGCTAGCTTCTGCCGTTCCGCCCGTCGCGGGGCCAGATTTCGGGGGGTAGCCCTTCCACAAGGGAATTCCCCCAAATGCTGAACGGGAGCCCCTCCGCAAGGTCGGGGGAAAATCACCTCTGGAGCCTCGAGCGCCATCCTCCTGCGTCATTTTTCGAGCCAGATCGATCTGCGAGGGTCCTGGGGCTCGAAACCTGGCGAAAACGCCCGATGTGAACAACGTGCAAAGCAAGGATCTCAGGGGTTGTCTCGAGACCGAGGAGAAGCAGGAATGGAGGACGGAGGAGGAGGAGGATGAGTAGGAGGAGGAGGAGGAGTAGGAGGAGGTGGAGGAGGAGGAGCAGGAGGACGAAGGCGGATGGGTAACCGATGCGGAAGGCCGACGAGGCGCGGGTCCTTTTCTCCATCCCCTCCCACGATCGCCAGGGCTATCTTTCAGTCGGGCGTGTCCCCCTACAGGGGGATTTCCGACGAAAAATGAAACATACCGCCAAAATGCTCCAAAAATGGCCCAGAGTAGTTCAAAAATGGTCCCCAGATTACTTTTTGCGCCTATTTTGGAATCTTCCCCCTGTAGGGGGACGGGCCCGACTTGAGGCCATCTCGACCGGCCCCCCTCCGAGCTGACAATCCACTCCCCTGCCAGCTTCTTGGCCTGCTTCGCGTCCCGAGACATGGCGGCAGGGCGCCGGGGCAGGCGGCAGTCCCCCGCGGCAGTCGAGGCGGGTGGCCCGCCGCCGCTTTGAGCATGAACACCGCGGACCCCGGATCCCGGACCAGAAGACAAACGACACCCTCTCCTCCTCCCTCCTCCTCCTCCTCCTCCTCCTCCTCCTCCTCCTCCTCGCTCCTCCTCCTCCTCCTCCTCCTCCTCCTCCTCCTCCTCCTCCTCCTCCTCCTCCCCCTCCCCCTCCCCTCCCCCTCCCTCCTCCCTCCTCCTCCCTCCTTCTCCTCCTCCTCCTGCTCCTTCTCCTCCTCCTGCCTCTCCTCGTCGATCCTTTTCCTCTTCTCCCAGTCGCCCCTACGGCCCCCAAGGCCTTAGCACATACCATGAATTCCGGCTCGGGCTTTTGCGTGGTCTCGCTACATTCTGCGCGCGGTGGGCCGCAGCACAGCTTGGAGGGCCGTAGGTGGGGTGGCGTCGTTTGCTTTGTGGTCGAAAGCTGGGAAGCATTTGGTTGGTCTTTCGACTGGTCGATCAATTTCTCCACTGTTGCCGTGACTCCAGACTCCTTCGGGTCGTGAACCTGATGGAGCCACGAACCCCGACCTTGGAGCGCAGGTGGGCATGTCTTCCGAGGCAAAATAAGGTCAGCAGGGGGATTGGGCAGGGCGTCTCATCTGCCACTGTGCCGCGATGCACTGGGTGGAGTGTTCGCAGGTCCCCTGTAGCCTCTGTCCTGAGCCCTCAGGATTGAATGTAAATCTACGACGCCTGCGGCGAATCAACGCCACCCCCTACCTTTTGGAAACGCCTGCGCCGCCAAACGTTGGGCCGAAGCCTGGCCAAGCTATTGGACTATGTGTTCCCCCAGCCGTCGTGGAACCCCGTGGGGGAGCACTGGAGAGAGGAAGAGACAGGAGAAGAGGGAGGGGAATGAGGAGGAGAAGGAGGAGGAGGCCTCTTGAGGCCTCCTGGGGGCGTCCTGGGAGCCTCTTGACGGCCTATGAGGGCCTCCTGGGGGCCTCATGGGTTCTTCTGCTGGAGCCTCTTGGGGACCTCTGAGGGGCCTCCAGG